TTTCTCCTTGTCTTAGTCCTGAATGGCCCACTGCACATCCAACTAACAATTGTGCAACAAATTAACAGAGGGTCAGGGATAGAGTCTAAATAAAATTACTTAAGTAAATTAGCAATAATGGGGAAATTAATGGAATTGAAGAAGGACAAATCCTCAGGATCTGATGGTTCCCATCCATAGGTGTTAAAGGAGGTAGGAGTGTACATTACTGATGCCCTGACCATAATCTTTTAGAGTTCCCTGGATTCGGGAGTTGTATCTCTGGATTCAAAATTTTTATAGATCAATTAGCCTGACATCAGTGGTGGGGAAATTGTTAGAGTGTATAATCAGATAGGGTAACTGATCACCTTGAAAACTTTCAATTAATCAGGAAGGGAGAGCAAGGATTCATGAAGGGTAGGACAAATCTCGGAGTTTTTTGAAGAGGTGACAGAAGTGGTGAATGGAGGTAGTTCCATCGATGTTGTTTTATGAAGCCAGAAGGCTTTTTGGTAAAGTCCCACACAAGAAATTGTTTCCTAAGGTAGAAGTCCATGGAATTGAGAATAATTTACTTACATGGATAGGAAATTGATTGAGTGACAGGAAAAAGTGTTGGAATAGTTGGTAAATACTCATTCTTATCCTTATTGACCTCATTAAAACCAATCTGCTGGCTGCAGATGCATCGGTCTATGACAATATCAGTTAGATTGAGCATCACACAGTCCTTGTGGAGACAAAGTCCCTCTTTCACATTGAGAATAACCTCTATCGTGTTACAGACTTCGAACAGATCTAACAACTCAAAACTGGGCATCCATGAGACATAGTGGGCCATCAACAGCAGCAAGATTGTACTCTAGCACAATCTGTAACCTCATGGCCTGGCATATCCCCCACTCAACCATTACCATCAAGCCAGGGATCAACACTGGTTCAATGGAGAGCGCTGGACAGCAAACCAGGAGCAGCATGAGACATACCTGAAAATGAGGTGTCAACCTGTTAACCCTACCAACCAGGACTACTTATATGCCAAACAGCATAAGCAGCAAATTAAAGACAGAGCTAAGCGATCCTGCAACCAATGGATCAGATCTAAGCTCTGCATCCTGCCACATCCAGTTGTGAATGGTAGTGGACATTTAAACAACTCACTGGATGAGGAGGCTCAACAAATATCCCCCTCCTCAATGATGGCAGAGCCAGAACATCAGTGCAAAAGATAAGGCTAAAGCACTCATAGCAATCTTCAGCCAGAAGTGCCGAGTAGATGATCCATCTCGGCCTCCTCCAGTGGTCCCCAGCATTGCAGATATCAGTCTTCAGCCAATTTGATTCACTCCACGTGATATCAAGAAACAGTTGGAGAAATTGGATACTACAAAGGCTATAGGCTCTGACAACATTCTGGCAATAGCACAAAAGACTTGTGCTCTAGAACTTGCCGCTCCCCTAGCCAAGCTGTTCTAGTACAGTTACAACACTGGCATCTATCCGACAATGTGGAAAATTGCCCAAGTACTTTCTGTACATAAAAAGCAGGATAAATCCAGCCTAGCCAATTAATGTCCTATCAGTCTATTCTTGATCACCAGTAAAGTGATGGAAGGTGTCATCAATAGTGCTATCAAGCAGCACCTGCTCAGCAATAATCTGCTCAGGGATGCCCAGTTTGGGTTCTACCAGGGCCACTTGGCTCTTGACCTTGTTACAGCCTTGGTTCAAACATGAACAAAAATCTGAATTCCAGAGGTGAAGTGAGAGTGACAGCCATTGACATCAAGGCTACATCCAACCGAACGTGGCATCAAGGAGTCAATGGGTATTGGGGGCAAACTCTCTAGTGGTTGGAGTCATACCTGACACATAAGAAGATGGTCGTGGTTGTTGGAGGTCAGTCATCTCAGCTTCAGGACATCCCTGCAGGTGTTCCTCAGTGTAGTGTCCTCGGCCCAACAATCTTCAGCTGCTTCATCAATGAACTTCGCTCCGTCATAAGGTCAGGAGGGGAAATATTCACTGATGATTGCACAATGTTCAGCACCATTAATGACTCCTCAGGTACTGAAGCAGTCCATGGTCAAATACACCCAGATCGGGGCGATATCCAGGGTTAGGCTAACAAGTGGCAGGTAATTTCACACCACACAAACGCCAGGCAATGACCATCACCAATAAGACACTATCTAAACACTGTCCCTTGACATTCAATGGTGTTACTATCACTGAATCCGTCATTATTAACAGCCTCATACAGCACTTTCCAATCCCATGACTACCTCCATCGAGAAGGATAAGGGCAGCAGATACATGGGAATGCCACCACTTTCAAGTTCCCCTCCAAGCCACTCACCATCCTGACTTGGAAATATATCGCTGTTCCTTCACTGTCGCTGGGTCAAAGTCCTGGAATTCCCTGCTTAATGACATTGTGGGTCAATCTGCAGCAGTTCAGGAAGGCAACTCACCACCACCTTGTCAAGGACAACTAGGGATGGGCAAGAAATGCTGGCCAGCCAGCAACGCCCACATCCCACAAATGAACAAAAAAAGGTTCAGTTTAGCAGAATGTGATTAGTGGCTTCATGGTCTGTGCTTTATTTGATATTTTCAGAGAAGACACTGCAGAATCAATTTGCTTCTTTCTGATATCCTGGCTAATATTTATCCCTTAGTCAACATCAGATAGTCATTAGTATTGGGGGTCAGTTAACTGCATGGCTAGCCTCTGATGTAGAGCGACACCAACAGTGCAGGTTCAATTCACCGTGCAAACTGCAGGAACAACATCTCATCTTCAGACTAGGCACTTTAAAACCTTCTGGGCTTAATATTGAGTTCAACACCTTCAAATTGTGAACCAACTCCTATTCCTTCCCTTTCTTTTAGCTCTACCTGTTCCTTTCTCTGTCATCTCTCCCCTCTCTCCACCTTAGTGGAACCATCTGTTCTTTCAATTCTGGTAGTTAGACACGTTATTGTTCTGCCATTCTCACATTCCGATCGCTTAATCTGAGCTATCAACATCCTTTCTCCCCAGCACTCCAACCTTCCCCCTTCCCCCTGACTATTGCATAAATGCTGCCCCCTCCACACTTCACGTCAGCTCTGATGAAAAGTCATCTCAGCTTGAAACATTAGCTTGCTTTCTCTCCATGGATGCTGCCTGTCCCACTGCGTTCTCCAGAATTTGTTGCTTTCAGCTAGGTTCAATTTCCGCACTGGCTGAGTTTACTGTGAAGGTTCTTCCTCTCCCCTCACCTGAGGGATGGTGACCCTCAGGTTAAACCACCATCTCGCTCTAATGAGAGAGCAGCGCTGAGATCCTCTGGGACCATGGTAACTTTTCTAATCTTTGATCATTATTAATTTGCTTTTTTGTTGCATATTATTGTGCACTAATTGGTTCCTGAGTTTCATATTTTGCAACAGCAGCTGAACTTCAAAAGTGCTGCATTGGCGACAAAACAATTTGTGAAGAGTGTGATTCAAATATAAATGCTTTATCCTTTCTTAACTTTAAAGTGAAATGTGACATTTTTAATAAAACTAACTAATTTATCAATGTCTATAGTTTCATTTTGTTGCTCTGTGACTTTTTTTAGAACTTCCACGAAATAACTATCTTAATTGTCAGCATTAGATAATCTGGGCAATAAAATATGGAGAGTGTCAAATAGTTTAGCTATAAGTGAATATTTTACTTGATTGTGTTTAGCAGACTAGAATCTCCATTGATAATTATTAAAAACAAAGACAACAATAGAAATTGCTAGAAATGCTCAGCAGGTCTGGCAGCATCTGTGGAGAGAAATCAGAATTAAAGTTTCGGGCCAAGTGACCCTTCCTCAGACGAGTTCCTGAGTTCTGAGGAAGGGTCACTCCACTCAAAATGTTAACTTTGATTTCTCTCCACAGATGCTGCCAGACCTGCTGAGCTTTTCCAGCAATTTCTATTTTTTCCTCTGATTTACAGCGTCCTCAGTTCTTCCAGTTTTTATTAAAAACAAGTTACCTTTTTGGCTTAAAGAATTGCATGTTCTTCAAATACTGCAATAAAAACTATAATTACAGGCTCTCTGTGAGGAAGTAATTCAACTATTACAAATTTTCCTTCAGAACCTCTTATGCATTTTCTTGTTTTATACATTATTCCCCCTGAATCATGGCTCCAGTTTTGGATTTAAGTTAATGGAAGGTGCAAAATGGTGAAATGTTGTTAAAAGTAGATGTGACAACAATTCTGTGTCAACAATATTAAATAGTTTTACTTGCTATAAAAAGAGGACACTCTGATTTTGAAGATCAGGTGAGTTTTCAGCCTGTTCCCTATGGCAAGTTTGTTCTTGACTCATAATCTAGCACACGAAAATTTGGAGCTTGAGAGACTAAGTGTTAAAATTATAATTTGGCATCAGTAGCAGTGACTCTGAAGCAGTCAGACTGTCACCAGCTGAATCGCTAACATCTTTCATAGGAACAAACCTGCCATCCTTACCCTGTCTAGTCTCCAAACCTGTTCTGAAATGTTTGACTCCTAAGTGACATCTGAAGGGGTTTAGCAAAATACACTGTCAGGGCAGCTAGAGATTGGCAGTAAATTCCAGTCACACAGCAATGCCCACAACCCAAGAATGATGTTTTGGAAAACAATAAAACCTATTAAACCTGATCAAGAAGCGCAGAAAATGTCAGGGAAAATATGCAATGAGACCAGGATAATCCATGAGAGCATGAATACATTCCAATAACTATTTTGGCAAGATTTCTTAACTCTTTGTATATTTTCAGCCGAGTATGATGAAGCTCTTGAATTATTTATTTGAGGTGATCAAATCAATTGGTAGGTTTTAATGGATAGAAGTTTCTGACACCAGATTGGTCACTCTATTGCTGGCTTTATACTTCTCTTGTATCCCCCCTTGCCAAAATATTATTTTGTTACTACATTTAAGCATGTGCCACAACAATGCAAACAACCCCAAAAAGAAGAAACAGAAGAATGCACTTACCATCACTCCAACTGCAAGGTTTGTGGCTTTGAGAATATTTGCAAAGCTGCCAGACAAACATGAGCTTCCTTTGAATGTCACGGTTTTGCAATTAATGTGCTAATTGCTGAGTGAGCTACAAACTCATATCACACAGACAGCATCAGCCTTCTATATACGTGCGTTGAGCTTTTGATGTGAAGCTGCTGTGCAGCCAGTCAAGAATCACACTTTTTTTAAATGTTCTCCTTCCTCCAGTATGAGATTGGGAGCTGTGAGAAGGAAGTGAAGTGTTTTAAAGTTTTCTTTTTAGAAAAAAGAGAACTAAAGGTATGTGAAAGATAAATGCCAATACATTGAAAGTTTCAGCCTGGACATTTCAATTCATCTAGCCCACCTAATTCCCATTGTGCTTGTAACAAACTTGAGCCATAAACCTGGTTAAACTTACCTGTCTAATCTGGCACCCATTAAGGTTCCTTGCATTTGGATAAGAAATAAAATTAACGTTCAAAAAACACAGATAAAGGAGAAGCACAGGAATAATAAAGTACGTCCATTTATATTGTGCATTTTCAACCACAAACTGCTAAATTCTTAAATCAGAAACAAAATTGTAGACTTGCTTCCTCAGGGTTGCTTGATCTTGAACAGTAAGTCTGATTTCTGTCTGCAGCTAGACCTGCTGAGCTTTTCTAGCAATTTCAGATTTTGTTTCTGGTTTACAGCATCTGCAGTTCTTTTGGTTTTTAAATTCTTAAATTGGTTACTTAAGGTGATCCATCAACTCTGGAAATCCCTCTACAACTAATTAAAAAAAAACTTCTGATGTGTTGTAATGGAGCAAATATGGCAGAACCAACAATGTGATGGGTTGAGGGATAAATATTGGTCAATGATACTGAAGGGTACCTACCATAGCACGATTAGGGAGAAGGGTTACGCCACTCTATCCCTTCAGCCTGTTCCACCACTCAATAAGACCACCTCTGATTTGATTATTCCACGTCTCTGCCCACCCATGCTGCCAATAATCTTATCAATAAACTGTATATCTTTGCTTCCAAGAGACTGAAAGACTTTGCTTTCATCCTACCTCCACCCCTTTTAAGGAAGAGAGTCAAAGATTTCTGAACTTCTGAGAAACAAATTCTCCTTGTTTCTGTCTAAGTGGCCAAGTCTGTATTTTTATGCGCTACTTGTAGACCTAAAACCTCCGAAAAGAGGATGGAGCCTTTCCACATGCATCCTGTTAAGATGCCTCAGGATCCTTTATTTATTTCAAAAAAATCAGCTCTCAATCATTTCAACTCCAACTGTTACAAACCTAACATATCCAAACTTTCCCCATAAATTAGCCCCTGCATTATAGGTATTAATCCAGTAAATTTTCACAGAAACACAAAATTATTACAGTGCAGAAGGTGGCCCATCTGTCCGCACTGATTTCATTACCTAGTTCCCATGTCCTGCCTTTTCCCTATATTCCTGCATGTTATTTCTATCCAAATAATCTCCAATGCCCACTTGGAACAGCTCAGTTGAATCTGTCCCAACCATATTTCCAGGCAGTACCTGTCATATCCCACCTACTTGCTGCTTTTTCTCATATCATCCTTGCTTTGTTTGAACATCACTTTAAATCTATACTTTCTCGCCCTTTTACAAGCAGGAACATCTCCGTATGGGTCTAGGCCCGAAACGTCAGCCTTTCTGCTCCTATGATGCTGCTTGGCCTGCTGTGTTCATCCAGCTTTGCACCTTGTTGTCTCACATCTCCATATGTGCTCCTTTATCTTTAGCATGTGCTACTTCTTCGGAGAAGGCTAATAAATTGGTTAAACATGATTTTCCTTTTACAATATCATATCAACTCTAATTACCTTGAGCTCTCTATCTGTCTAGTTATGATTTCTTACATAATAATTGAGTCCTATGACAGCAGTTTAACTCAATGTCCCTGTTGTAAGTAAATGATTGTACTAAATAGTTTCTGCACTCTTTCCAATGCATTCACATCTTTCCTATAATAGGGCACCCATATGGCCACTAGATAAAGGAGCAGAATGAGGCCATTTGGCCCATTGAGCTTGCTCCGCTGTTTGATCATAGCTGATGTGTTTCTCAACCCCACATTCTCCTGCCTTCTCCCCATAACCTTTGATCCCCTTACTAATCAAGAACCTATCTATAACTGTATAACCGTACAACTGTACACAGTGCTCAAGCTGAGCTCCAACAATGTGCAAGTTCAAGTTCACCTCCCTGCTCTTGCACTCTGTGTATTTACTAATGAAACTGAGGACAATGTAGGCTTTGTTAACTATTCTTGCTATCTGTTCTGCCACCTTCAATGATCTGTGCACATATACGTCCAAATGCTCCCAGCTTCCTGTCTCATTCCCTTTTAGAATACGTTTAGAAATATAGTCGTTATTTTCCAATCGTATGTTCCTTTTCCCAAATCTAGGGAATGTTGGAGAACTAAAATGAATGTAGCAACTATCACTCTGGCCATTTTTTTAAGACCCAAGGAAGAAGACCATCAGGACCTGGGGACTTAGCAGTTTGTAGTTTTGTCCAATTGCACAGTGCCACTTGCTTGACATTTGTATTTTCTCGAGTTCCTCCATTTGTGGATATGATTGCACGAGAGACGGTGCAGTGGAGAACCTTTGGACGGCCTGTGCAGAAAGGGGCAAACAGGATGGAGGACCTCCTCATGGGTCATGTCCCTGTCACCTCCTGTTCCTGACCGACTTGTCTGAGATAGACAAGCACATTTATCCATTGGTTGGAGTGGACTTATAAGTGATAGATGAGGTTCAATGCAAAGAAGTGAGGTAAGGAAATGCACTTTAGTTGGAAGAACACTGATAGACAATACAAAATAGGGGATACATTTCTTAAGGGAGTGTAGGGCCTGGATGTGTATGTGTACAGATTGTTGAAGGTGGAAGCATTACTGGAGAGAAATCAGTTAATAAAGCAGACAGTGCTTCCAGCTTTATTAACATCGGCAAGAGAGGGAGATGATGTTGAACTTGAATAAGACAGTTGTTAGATCTCAGCTGGAGTCATGTGCCTCATTATAGGAAAGATGTGAACGCACCAGAGTGAGGACGAAGCAATTTACAAGAATGGTTTCAGGAATGCAAAACTTCAGCAATGAAGGTAGGTGGAAAAAGTTTTGGCTGTTCTCGTTGGAGACAAGAAGGCTGAGAGAAGAGGTTTCCAAATCATGAGTGGGCTAGATAGAGCAGATAGGGAGAAGCTTTTCCTACTCTGAAAATAAAAGGGATAAGGTGGCACAGATTTAAAGTGATGTGCAAACAAAGTAAGGTTGATGTGAGAAAAGAAAATCTTCTTCACACAGCAAGTCGTTAGGGCCTGGAATGCATTGCCTAGAAATATACTGGACACAGGTTCAAACGAAGCATTCAAGAGGGAATTGGGTGATTACTTGGATAGAAATAGTCCGTGGGATTTTGGGGATTGGCTGTAGATATTAGAAGCTGTGTAGGCAATACAACCTGTGTAGGAATGATGGACATGCTGTAACAATTCTGTGATTCTATCCATTGACAGGGACAAGCAATGGACCATGGAGTGGACTCTGGCCCCTGATTGTCTGTCACTCTTTCAAGGTTATCTCTACATCCAGGGGTCTGTTGAGTACACCACAAGCTTTACACAACTGCTTGGATGTCTCAACCCCTTCCTGAAATGATATTTTAAATTTGAAACTTCCTTCTGAAAGTATGATTTGTGTTACAGAGTGCCTTGGGCTTCTCTACACCATCAAAGTTCACATAAGTGAGACCTAACCAAACTGATTACCTGCTAACCTAACATCAGCAGGTTAGAATGGGGCAGCAAGAACAGTGGAAAACATTACAGCTGCTGAGGTCAGGGGTAATATTTGGATTTTGACAACAGTTGCACTGCTTCCTCAATATAAAAATGAAATCAGCACAGACTTTGGGCTTGACACAATTTGTGGCTTCACATTATTGGCATTAGGCTAGATGCCATTCATCAATGTGTTCAATTGGTGGCACAAATCTTGAATATGGCTGAAAAAAGAAACATTCCCTCAGAGATTTTCGTCTTGCCCTCATCAGGACAATTCACGAGAATACCAATAAATGGGAATGCAATGTTTTTATGCCGTTATGAGATGTGTTTCATTTCAGCAACAATTGATGAAATTTGTTGAACAGATTATTGAAATCTTTGATAACAAGGCACAAAAGGACATTTTGCACACCCTTATTCCAAGTGAGTGGGCATTCAGTGGATGAATCTCTTCTTGTTCCTTGCATCTATAAATGGATGGATTAAAACAGTCCCTTGGTGTAGTTTCTCTGATCAGTTCTATGGCTGATGTCCATTGCAGAAAATTTTGTGGGGGAATTCTCAATTTAGTCAACGGCAACTGTTGTTAGTACCACTTATGTTGAACTATGTCAAAGCACTTCACAGGGCCATTGTCAAACAAAGCTTCAGTCAGACCCAACTATGCTGGAAACCCTAAATATAGCCATAATTTATGCTGATTGAAATGATGTCTGTGAGTAAAGGGCTAAAGAGTTTCCTCCTGGCTTACGCGACTGGAGGGGGAAGGAAAACAATATTCTCAGGGACAACTAGCAATAAAACAAGGTGTGAAAATATATCATTTATGGCTGCATGTCACGACACCAAAACCTGGCCCATAATGGAAATAAATGAGAAATTGCTGGAATTGGTCAGAATTGATTCTAACACACAACCTGCGCATTTCTATCCTTCATTCTCTGCATTCTTTCACTGCTTTTGCTGTACTGCATTCGCTGAGCGTGTACTTATTGGAATTTAGAAGCATGAGAGACAACTACATTGAAACATACAAGATTCTCAGGGGATTTGTTTGGTTTGATGTGGAAGGGTTGTTTTCCCTTGTGGGAGAGTCTAGGACCAGAGGGTATAATCTCAGAATACAGGATGCCCATTTAGGTCAGAGATGAGGACAAATTGTTTTTCTCAGAAGGTAATGAATCTCTGGAGTTCTTTACCACAGAGAGCTGTTGAGGTTGAGTTGTTAAGTATATTCAAGGAGCGATAGACAGATTTTTAATCAGTAAGG